CTCCCTTAAATTCAATTTGAAGGTGCTCCTTCAGAAAACCCAAATAAAGACAATAATGCAAACTTTCTACAAAGTTATCTGCAAGTTACTTTTAAACTATGATAATACAAAAACTGCTTCTAGGGGCTGGGAAGGTAGCTCAGTGGTAGAGTGCTTGCCTTGCATGCATGAGGCCCTCGGTTCGATTCCTCAGCATCACATAATCAGAAAAAGCCAGAAGTGCTGTGGCTCAAGTGGTGGAGCGCTAGCCCTGAGTTGAAGAGCTCAGAGACAGTGCCCAGGTCCAGAGTTCAGGCCCCACAACCAAAAAAAAAAAAAAACTGCTTCTAGAACCCTTTTCAAAATAAAAACAATGTATCACTTCTAAAATATAGCCCATCTCTGTAAAAACATCATAAATTTAACCAATAACTAAATGTATTCAGGAGGAAGACATAATCCAAAAGCTAGAAGTAATACTTGTTACTTACATGTTTGTTTATAACTTGGTCACTAGGATAGACCACTCTTGAATTATGACAAACTAAAACAGAGAAATTAAACAAATGAGCTTCTATTTCTTAGATTTCCTATGGCAATACTTCTCTTGTTGCCAGACTCCCTGAATCATTTCTTAAGGACATTATATCTATCTCAGAGTAGTTTCCATCCAACAAAAGGCTGGTCTCCAAGGAGATGTTCTAGACTCTCACATTTTTTTAGGCTGACATTTCTTAGGAAAACCCCTCTTGGTTAAAAAAAAAAGAAAGAAAGAAAGAAAGAAAGAAAGAAAGAAAAACTGACTCTCCTCTTAGATCGGCAATAATAAAATAAAAATTAAATGCATAACTATTTTAAGCAATGACAAGTAGGCCTGGGACTCATTTCAACAACAAACAAAAAAACTACCAAGAAAACTTTTGTTTGCAGTTTTTCCTAGGTAAAAAGAAACAAAGACTACTTTGTTGTTTTCCTTACATGTGCCTTTTCTACCACTTTTTACCTCAGGGTTGATTACAGTACACAAGTGGAAGAGGCTGGCCTTCACCAATTGCCAAATGAGCACTCGTTTCTAAGTCAGCTTTTATCTTCTTTTTATCTAAAACTCAAAATAATTCCAATTGACATATTTATAATGATTAAAAACAATTAGGTTTGTAGACTGAGATATACACGGCATAGCTAACAGTTTAAAGTGTGTTTGTTTTTGTGCCAGTGCTGGGGCTTGAACTCACAGCCTCAAGCTCTTGTTCTTTTCATTCCAGGTTGGAGCTCTCAGACTTGAGCCATACCTCCACTTCTGCTTTCTGCTGTTTAATCAGAGATAAGATTCTCACAGATTTCTCTGCCCAGGGACAGGAGTCCTCAGAACTCAGACTCCTGAGTAGCTAGAGTTATAGGTATGAGCCACTGACACCTGACTTAAAAACAGTTTTGAGCCAAGTACAATGGTGTACTCTTGTAATCCCAGATAAGTGGGAGCATTGGTAGAAGGACAGAGTCCAATGCTAGCACTGGGCAAAAATAATCAGAAAGATAATTAACAGTTTGGGATTAAAATACTAATAAGTGAATAAGGAACCAAGCATATGAGTAAATGAGAAAAAAAAAATCTAGTAGTTATTCACGTCTCACCTGACTTTTGTCTCCTTCCACCCTTTTCCTGGCTTGCAAAGAAAACAAAAACAATTCTATTTGAAAGACAAAAGATAACTAAAAAGCAGAAGGAATAGGGGCATGAACTCAAGAACTTAGATTGGAACTAAGATTTTCAGACCTCAGAGTTCTGAATAGTTAGGACTACAATCATGAGCCACCAACACCTGGCAGTCATTTTCTTTTATTTTTTCTTTTATCTTCTTTTCTTTCAGGCATTGGGGCTTGAACTTGGCCTGGGTGCTGTTCCTTGAGCTTCTTTTGCTAAAGGCTAGCACTCTACCAACTTGAGGCACAGCTCCATCTCCAGATTTTTTGGTTGTTTAGTGGAGTTAAGAGTCTCATTCCTGCCCAGGCTGGCTTGAACTGTGATCCTCAGATCTCATCCTCCTAAGTAGCTAGGATTACAGGCATAAGCCACCAGAGCCCAGCTTTTCCTTTTTCTTTTCTTTTTTTTTTTTATTTGTTGGTCGTGGGGCTTGAACTCTGAGCCTGGGCTCTGTCCCTGTGCTCTTCAGCTCAAGGCGAGCGCTCTACCACTTGAGCCACAGCACCACTTCTGGTTTTCTAGTACTTTATTGGAGATAAGAGTCTCACGAATTTTTCTGCCCGGGCTGGCTTTGAACCATGATCCTCAGATCTCAGCCTCTTGAGTAGCTAGGATTACAGGCGTGAGCCACTGGCGCCCGGCAGTCTTTTTTCTTTTCTAAGTATGGAGGGTAATATTTAAAAGTATACAGGGTAAGCTGAGCACTAGTGTCTCACATCTGTAATCCTAGCTCAGGAGGCTGAGATCTGAGGATCGTGGTTCAAAGCTGGTCTGGGTAGAAAACTCCATGAGACTCATCTCCAATAAACTATTCAGAGAAAGCCAAAGTGGTGCCATAGCTCAAGTGGTAGAGCACTCACTTTGAGCAAAAGAAGCTCAGGGACAATGTCCAGGTCCAGAGTTCAAGCCCTGCAAAAAAAATAAATAAATAAATAATATGTGGGGTGAATATGTGAATGTAGTATTTCATGAACAAGATTTACTGTGTTCATAAACTGCTTTGGTGAATGGCAACTCCTTTATACTACTACTTACACACACACACACACACACAAATACACACACAGTCAGGTGCTGGTGGCTCACGCCTGTAATCCTAGCTACTCAGGAGGCTGAGATCTGAGGATCACAGTTCAAAGCCAGCCCGAGTAAGAAAAGTCCATGAGATTCTTATCTCCAATAAACCACTCAGAAAACTGGAAGTGGCGCTGTGGCTTAAGTGGTGGAGTGCTAGCCTTGAGCTGAAGAGCTGAGGGACAGCACCCAGGCCCAGAGTTCAAGACCCACGACCGACCGGCAAAACACACACACACACACACACACACACACAATTGCAAAAATTTTAAAGAACACAGAAACTGGATTTAAAAAAAGTTAAATGTAGGGATTGGAATGAGGAATGGAGTATCCAATATGCTAACCAATAAGTGGAACCAGAAAGAGAAATTACATTAGCACTGATTAAATACCATTCTGAAAACAAGCAAAAGAAAGAAAAGAATAGAATTGTGGTTACTTTCTGTCAAAATGATCACATGCATAGAAAATCCTAAGGAATTTGTAAAGAAAAAAATTAGTAGAATTCAAAAGTTAATTTAACAGTCACATGACATAAAGTACAAAAATATTTTTATATTTAAATATTTTATTTACTGGGTACCACCGGTGCCCAATGAAAGTATATTTTTGAATAAATTTAACAAAGCTAGCCAGGTGCCAATAGCTCACGCCTGTAATCCTAACTACTTAGGAGGCTCAGATCTGAGGATCCCAGTTCGAAGCCAGTCCAGGCAGGAAAGTTCGTGAGACTCTTATCTCCAATAAACCACTCAGAAAACTGGAAATGGCTCTGTGGCTCAAGTGGTAGAGTGCGCGCCTTGAGCTTGAAGAGCTGAGGGACAGCACCCAGGCCCAGAGTTCAACCCCCATAACTGACAAAAAAGAAAAAAAAAAAAAAAAAGCAAAGCTATAGGAGACCTAAACATTAACAAGTACAGGTAGACTCAAAGGAAAATAAAAGGAAGCCTAATTAAAAGAAGTTTGTCTTTATCTGAATCCAATTTCAAACAAATAATTCTAAATATTTTGGAAATAATATATGAGATATAATAATATTGACAATATTAGTCAGTTTAACTTTTATGGAGCTGCGGGACAGCGCCCAGGCCCAGAGTTCAGCCTCTACAACTGACAAAAAAATAAAAAAAGAAAAGAAAAGAAAATAGAGAACCAATTAAGAGCCCCATAGACTCAAACAGCACAGATGGTCCCAGAATTATGAGGGTTCCATGTAATGACTTTCAACTTTCTGTTGGTTTAAGAGTGATATGTACTAGGGCTGGGAAGGTGGCTCAGTGGTAGAGTGCTTGTCTTGCATGCATGAGGCCCTGGGTTCGATTCCTCAGCACCACATAAGCAAAAAGAAAAAAAGCTGGAAGTGGCGCTGTGGCTCAAGTGGTAGAGTGCTAACCTTGAGCTGAAGAGCTGAGGGACAGCACCCAGGTCCAGAGTTCAGGCCCCACGATCAGATCCCCCCCCCCAAAAAAAAAAAAAGAGTGATATGTACTCAGTAGAAACATTCTTCAGATTCTGAATTTTGTTACTGTCAGAGACTAGTGATCTGTCATAGGATACTGTTTGATGATGCACAGCAGTGACCTTGAGCCACAATTCCCATCAGTAATATACTCATGAAAGTAAATAATCTCTGCAGTGAACTGTACTGGATAAAGAATTCTGTAGGAAGTGGTGTTGTAGCTCAAGTGGTACAGTGCTCGCCTTGAGCTGAAGAGCTGAGGGATAGCGCCCAGTCCCAGAGTTCAAGCCCCACTACCGACAAAAAAAAAAAGAATTCTGCAGTGCGCTCCACTGCCAGGAATTCTGGGATATAGAAATGCAATTACATTGATTATATGAGATAAGCTTTATTATAAAAAAAAAGCTTTTTATTAGATTTCTGGCTTTTGTTTTGTTTGGTTTTAAGGCAAAGTCTTAATATATATCTGTATATGTGTATGTATATACATATATATATGTGTATATATATTCATGTATATAAATGTGTGTATTTGTAAGTGTGAATATATATACATACAAACACACACATATTACACATATATCTCAAGCTGTCCTGATTTGGCTATGCAGCCAAGGTTGGCTTTGAATTTACGAACCTACTCCCTCCAACTCCTGGGTACTAGAATTTAAGTCAAGTGAAGTCCAGTGAAGGCACTGTGCATTTTGATGAAGCTGATTATCTAATAACCACACTGAATCAATAAGATGTTATGTTAAAATACAGTATCAGCACGAGACTCTAATGTAATAAAACTGCTACCTTCGGCCACTTGGGGTTGAGGAGTCGGGCTTTGATGGCATCATCCAGTGCCTGGTCATACTGCTGGATTTTCATGTAGGCTGCAGACCGATTGCTGTACAAGATGCAGTTTTGAGGGTCAACAGCCAGAGCTTCATTGTAAAGAACAATAGCTGTGTGGAAATCCCCATCATGACAGGCCTGGTTACTCTGCCGAACTTTCTCAACAAATTCAGCTTTGCTCAGTACTGGTTCATCAGGGCTTCTCTGACCAACAGTCTTAACACCAAAGAGAGGAACCTACAAAGAAAGAAACATTGTTAAACAAAATTCAGATCACCCAGACAAGTTTCTTTTCTTTTGCTAGTCCTGGAGATGAACTCAGGGCCTGGACACTGTCCCTGAGCCTCTCTGTGCTCAAGGCTAGTACTCTACCACTTGAGCCACAGTGACACTTCCAGCTTTTTCAGTTTATGTGGTACTGAGGAATAGAACCCAGGGCTTCATGCATGCTAGGCAAGCACTCTACTACTAAGCCACATTCCTAGCACCCAGACAAGTGTCTTATGTGAACCCCAGCAGAACACAGACCTTCTTCTCATGTCCTTATAGTTGACTATGGGCTGAAAGACAATAAATCTTCCTTGAAGCAGACAACATCCAATGCATTCAACCATGCCTTGAATACACATAGGTATATGTATGTGTGATACTTATATACATTCATATTTATACACGTACATAGTTGTTGACTTACAAAGAGAATGAGTGCAAAACAAGTTTTTTTGCCATTTAAAATTATACTAGGGCCAGGTGCCAGTGGCTCACACCCATAATCCTAGCTACTGAGGATCACGGTTTAAAGATAGCCTGGACAGGAAAGTCCATGAGACTCTTATCTCCAATAAACCACCAAAAAAACCAGAAGTGGAGCTGTGGCTCAATCAAGCCTCATAACCAACAAAAAAAAAATAAAAATAGAGCCGGGCACCTGTGGCTCATGCCTGTAAATAAAGCCAAGCACCCGTGGCTCACACCTGTAATCCTAGCTACTCAGGAGGCTGAGATCTGAGGACCTAGTTCAAAGCCAGCCTGGACAGGAAAGTGAGACTCTTATCTCCAATAAACCACTCAGAAAACTGAAAGTGGAGCTGTGGCTCAAGTGGTAGAGTGCAAGCCTTGAGCTGAAGAGCTGAGGGACAGCGTTCAGGCCCAGAGTTCAAGCCCCATGACCGACAAAAAAATAAAAATAAAGTTTGGGGCTGGGAAGGTGGCTCAGTGGTAGAGCGCTTGCCTTGCATGCATTAGGCCCTAGGTTCAATTCCTCAGCACCACATAAGCAGAAAAAGCCGGATGTAGCACTGTGGCTCAAGTGGTAGAGCACTAACCTTGAGCTGAAGAGCTGAGGGATAGTACCCAGTCCCAGAGTTCAGGCTCCATGACCGAAAAATGAAAGAAAAGAAAAGAAAAGAAAAGGCATGATCTCAACTATGTTATTATGAGTCTGATCCAACAAATAATAGAAGAATATAGAATTAATGTTTTTAGCATGTTAATATAAGACTATAGAGTACTTTTATTTTCTTAAACTTTCTCTCTTTTTTTTTTTTTTTGGGTCCAGTCATGGGGCCTGAACTCTGGGCCTGGGCACTGTCCCTCAGCTCTATCAGCTCAAGGCTAGTGCTCTACCACTTGAGCCACAGCACCACTTCTGGCTTTTTTCTTTTTGTTTATGTGGTGCTGAGGAATCGAACCCAGGGCCTCAGGCATGCAAGGCAAGTGCTCTACCACTGAGCCACCTTCCCAGCCCCACCTGGGAGCCTCTTATCTCTAACAAACTCCCAGAAAACCAGAAGTGGCACTGTGGCTCTAGTGGTAGAGCACTAATCTTGAGCTCAGGGGCAGCACCCAGCCCCAAAGTTCAAGCCTCACAACGAAAGAGAAAGAAAGAAAGAAAGAGAGAAAGAAAGAAAGAAAGAAAGAAAGAAAGAAAGAAAGAAAGAAAGAAAGAAAGAAAGAAAGAAAGAAAGAAAAGAAAGAGAGAAAGAGAGAAAGAGAGAAAGAAAGAAAGAGAGAAAGAAAGAAAGAAAGAGAGAGAAAGAAAGGAAGAAAGAAAGAAGGAAAGAAAGAAAGAAGGAAGGAAGGAAGGAGAGAGAGAGAAAGAGAGAAAGAGAGAGAGAGAAAGAAAGAGAGAGAGAAAGAGAGAAAGAAAGAAAAAGAGAGAGAGAAGGAGAGAGGGAGAGAGGGAGGGAGGGAGGGAGGGAAAGAAAGAAAGGAAGGAAGGAAGGAAAAGGAAAAGAAAGAAAGAGAAAGAAAGGAGGAAGGAAGGAAGGAAGGAAGGAAGGAAGGAAGGAAGGAAGGAAGGAAGGAAGGAATGTGTTGCCAGGCACTTGTGGCTCACCCCTGTAATCCTATCTACTCAGGAGGCTGAGATCTGAGGATGGCCGTTCAAAGCCAGCCCGGACAAGAAAGTCTGTGAGACTCTTATCTCCAATTAACTACCAGAAAACTGGAAGTGGTGCAGTGGCTCAAGTGATAGAGCTTTAACCTTGAGCTGAAGAATTCAGGGACAGCGCCCAGGACAAGAGTTCAAGCCCCACAACCCACAAATAAAAAAAAAAAAGAAAGAAAGAAATTAGGTGTGCCACTATTTATAATTTATAATCATTATCTTTATTTATTGTTCCTTGTATTAATACATAAAAGGAACAGTGTCTCTTCTACTTTTGGCTTGATAATTTGTCAGAGCATAGTCACTCTTGTTTCCAGGTTTCATTTGCTTGAAATATCATTCTATCTGTAGGAGTTACTTTTCTCATTGCTATGACAGAACGCCTGACAGAAACAACTTACTAAAGGAAAGATTTATTTTGGCTCAGAGGTGTCAGTCTGTTATGTCAGGGAAAGCATGGCAGAGCAGAGTTCACATGGTAGATAAGAACCAGAAAGGAGGTGGGGGTAGGGCATCAGGAAAAAGCCAAGACAAGATATTACACCCAAGGATATATCCCAGTGACCTGCTTCCTCCTACTTACAGCCGCCTCCTCCCCCCTACACACACATGCACACACTTTCTTAATGCTATCCTTTTATGAACCCATCAAGGGATTAATCCACTCATAACATCAGAACCCTCATGATGTACTGTCTCTGGAAATGCTACCACAGACAAACTCAGATGTAGTTTACTAATCTCCTAGGTGTTTCTTTTTTTTTTGGGGGGGGGGGGGTCGGGTCATGGGCCTGAACTCTGGGCATGGGCGCTGTCCCTCAGCTCTTCAGCTCAAGACTAGCGCCCTACCACTTGAGCCTCAATGCCACTTCCGGCTTTTTTCTTTCTGCTCATGTGGTGCTGAGGAATCGAACCCAGGGCCTCATGCATGCAAGGCAAGCGCTCTACCACTGAGCCACCTTCCCAGCCCTGTGTTTCATTTTTTTAAATTATCTTTAAGTAATAGTACAAAGGGGTTTCAATTCAACATGTCAGTTTTTGAGTACAGTATATATTCCATCATTCTCCATCTGACCCAACCCCATGCATTCCCTCAAGTCACCTTACATATGTACAGTAAATATTATGGTGGGAAGGTATGTGGGTGTTCCTGCACGTGCGTGAGCATGTATGTGTGTGTGTGGTGTGTGCACTACTACCAGTGCTTGAACCAAGGACCTCAAAACTGGCCTTTTGTTGGTTCGTTAGGGATAGAGCCTCAAAGACTTTTCTGCCTCAGCTGTTTTTTGTTTTTTGTTGTTGTTGGTGGTGGTTGTGGAACTTGAACTCAGAACCTGGACCTGTTCCTGAGCTGTTTTGCTCAAGAGTAGCACTCTACCACTTGAGCCACAGTGCCACTTCCAGTTTTCTGGTGATTAGTTGGAGATAAGAGTCTCACAGACATTCCTACCTGGGCGGCTTTGAACCTCAATCCTCAGATCTCAGCCTCCTGAGTAGCTAGGATTTCAGGCATGAGCCACCAGCGCACAGCAACTACTCTTCTTTTTTTTAAATATTTTATGCAATGCTGTATAGTGTTCATGAATTTTTTTAGTTTAGGATTATTTTGGAAGTTCTTTATATTTCCTCTAATTCTGAAGGATCTTTGCTGGATATAGCAATTGAGGTTGGCAGCTATTTTCCTTCAGAGCTTGAAATTCATCATTCTGTACATTCCTCAACTTATTACATCTACTTGAGAGGTTTGCCTTTGTAAATTACATGGAACTTCTCCTTCATTACTTTCAATACTCTTTCTTTGTTCTGTATTCTTGTCATTTTAACTACAATATGATAGGTTTTATGGTCATGTGTGTTTAGGACCTAAATGCACCTGTTCCTGGATGTTCATATTTTCCCACAATGTTGGATATTTTCTGCTTTTTTTCTTTTTTTGGTTGGTCGTGGGGCTTGAACTCTGGGCCTGGGCGCTATCCCTCAGCTCTTCAGCTCAAGGAGAACGCTCTACCACTTGAGCCACAGCGTCACTTCTGGTTTTCTGGTGGTTAACTGGAGATAAGAGTCTCATAGACCTTCCTGCTCAGGCTGGCTTTGAACCATGATCCTCAGATCTCAGCCTCCTGAGAGGCTAGGATTACAGGTGTGAGCCACCAGCTCCCGACTATTTTCTGCTATTTTTTTCTTTTTCTTTTTTCTTTTCTTTTTTGGTTGGTCATGGATCTTGAACTCTGGGCCTAAGAGCTGTCCCTCAGCTTTTCACTTAAGGTTAGCACTCTACCACTTGAGCCACAGGACCACTTTTGGCTTTTTCGGTTTATGAGGCACTGAGGAATCGAATCCAGGGCCTCATACATGCGAGACAAGCACTCAACCACTGAACCACCTTCCCAACCCTTCTGCTATTTTTTCAATGAAAAAAAAAAAATCTTATACCTTTAGTCTATGTCTTGGTGTCTTGGTGCTGCCTTTTTTTTTTTGTCAGTTGTGAGGCCTGAACTCTGGGCCTGGGCACTGTCCCCCAGTTCTTCAGCTGTAGACCAACGCTCTACCACTTGAGCCTAAGCCCCACTTCCGGCTTTTTCCACTTATGTGTTGCTGAGGAATGGAACCCAGGGCCTCATGCATGCAAGGCAAGCACTCTACCACTGAGCCACCTTCCCAGCCCCATTGATGCCTTCTTATATACCAAAAACACTTAAGTTTGGTCTTTTAATCATGTCTCAGAGGGTCATACATGCTCGGCTCTTAATTGCTTTTTCTCTTCATTATTTTCTGAATGTTCTTATCTTGTTATTAAGTCCTAACATTCTCCTTTCTCCTGATCTATTGGTGAGGTTTTCTAGTCAGC